TATGTTCTCCGAGCCGATCGTAATTGTAGCAGACAGCTGACGTGCGTGTATTTGTAAACAGCTAGGTTACCCTCGGACCGATGACTGATGTGTTTTATTACGTTTATCATTGTTTTAGTGTTAAGAATCAAAAGTAGTGATATACGTGGTGCATTATAAGAAGATTTAAGTGGTTTTGAAGTGCTGGTTGATGATCCTGAAGAAGTAGGTAGTGATATTGATGTAAATTATCAGCCAGATTCCTAGCTATGGTTAGGCTATGCATTCTTAGCTAAACACTATGTACTGAAATCTGTTTTTTGCCCATAACTTATTTATATGCAAATTTACTTCCTTATATTATTATATATTTGTAATCCTCATAAAATTTAGAACAAAGTGGCTATTTTCAAATATTTATAGGCCTATAATTTATACAATTTCATTGAGCGCAAACTTATTTTTTTTTCAATTTTTCCAAAATAATTTTTTTTTACACCTAAAAAATTTTTTTGAAACAAATATTCCTTATGTTTTATGTATGATATTGAAGCCCATGATTTTCCAAACAAAATGGTATATAGAACATTAGAATTAACATTGTTTTAAGCTTCTCAGATCCGTTTTAATAAAACCTTGCAAATGCGCTAAAAATAGGTGGACATTAAGGCCTTAACTATGGACACTTGGAGGGTTAAATCAATCAAATATTTATCAAAACTTTCCCCATCTCTCTGTTTACGAGTTAAGAAACGATGTATTGCCATAGTCTCATTCTTTTTAGGAATACAGTGTTTTTCCAACGTGTTTAAGATACTTAAGACTGTTTCATCCTCATTTTCTGCATCTCTCTTCAGTGTGTTGTAAAGCTTTAAAGCTTCAGCCCCTAAAAGGTTCTTCAATCTTGCAACTTGTACTTTGTTTGACTTTTTGTCTGTTTCAGTTGCTTCAAAGTATAGTAATATTTCTTCTTTGAACCTCTTATAATTGGTGGCAATATTACCATTAACAACATTCAACTCTTCAGGTTTATTAACCCTTAGAGTGCCAGGCGAGAAATAAAAGTAACGCTCAAAAAATGCCGAGCGCGATCTGGCGATTTTTAGGTTAAAATTTCGTAAAAACCGAATTTTCGATATTTCGACCAACGAAAATCGATGTATCGCATCTAGTAACTTTCGACTCAATGTTAATATATGGGTTAAAAGAATCCGAGTATCCATTCGGTTGTTATGACAACTGTTCGATCATTACGAAACGTCCGGTCAGCCGGACGTTGGCACTTTTGGCTCGTTCTAAAAACGTCCGGTTCCCCGGACGTTGGCACTCAAAGGGTTAAAATCCATTTTGATCTTTCTTTTCTTTTTGAATTCCCTTATTTACTTTATTATTCTTGACTGCGCCATGTTTAATAGAATTTACTAATTTCCATATTTAACAAAAGTATCTTTATTACTGAACTCAATCTGTGTACAACTTGTAAATAAATCAAATGTAAACAATAACAATAAAGAAATAATATGACATATGATTATAAGCAGATCAAGGAATACTTTTAACCAAACAGGGTTTGCATTTGATTTTAAAACTTATTTTTTTCATTCTACTTCTTTCTCCATGGAAAACGATCAAATATTTCTAGACTAGGTGAAACCCGTCGAAATCGACGGTCCTTTTAAGGCTTACATTAATTTATCTAACTGTGATAAATAGATTGAAATTATAAAAAATGTGAGCATTTAGCATTATTTAATGAGTACTAGTGGTCGTCCTGTGGTCGAAACTCGACCAAAAATAATTAATGTACAGACTTCTCTATTTTCTCCCCACACTGTAAATAAAACATGTGATTGGGATTTCTTCCATTTGTTTTGATTTTCCGTTTACATTTTGTTGTTATTTCGTCACCATCATGGCAACCCAGTTGGTCCATGTTAATTTTTTGAAGTTTTCAAATTCGTTTTTTGTGCTTATTGTTTAGCCTATTTTAATTTATAAAGGGATTCTGCACATCTACAGGCAAATATCTTTCTAACAGTATGCGTAGATTTCCCCTGCGATGCACACGAGCTGAGAAAAAAGGTTTTAAAGAAACATGCTTGCCTATTAATATATAGAAGATAAGTGTAAAAACAATAATGACTATTGGCACTATTGCGTTAGTTACAAAGTATGGTTTATAAGCATTCAATGAATAAAATATTTCCCATGCCGTTGTCTTCGGAGATATTATTTCTATGTTAACTGGTTTCTCTTCTTTTTAAATAGTATTAAAATCATATTGTTGGATCTTTTGTGGTAAACACTTCCGCGATTTCATCAGTGTAATGCATATTACATCTATGCTTTTATTTGAGGAAAAATATCTGTTTGTTAAGAAGGCACGTTCTTACTTCATAGAAAGCCCACCTTTAAGCTGTGTAAGTTTGATTTTTTACCTTCGTCACGTCGGTCAACATGTTGTACTTCTGTGCCAATAAATAACCCTCTAGCATAGTTTTGAGAATTCGGTCATGGGGTTAGGGTGCGTTCACAAAGAAAGCTGGTTACAAGCGCTTGTTGGCAAGCTCTTGCAAGCTCGAACCGGCGTGAGAAAAGTTAACATAGTATCAAGCGGGTGCGTTCACAGACAAAGCTTGCCCCGGCTAGCAAGCGCTTGTTACAAGCTCTGACAAGCACGCAAGAACGTTTCGTACTTGTTTTCCAGCGCTTGTTGACCGAACCAGTCAGTTACAAACTACTAACAGTGCAGTATGGATTATGATTAGTTGATAGCTCAAGTATTTAGGGCTTCCAATTTCCAAAAATATATATTACCCTAGAATTTTCAATAACGTAACCAATGGGACAAATATAACATATGTATTAAGATGATAGAGAAACACATTTAATTCAATATTAATTAAGTGTTGGATTTTTATAGATGAAACTTGTATACTTTTACTTTATTTACCTAGAAAATTAATCATTTGAATATATCTCACAATATTATTTGCATCATAATTAATCAGCTACATAGGGTGTTTAAAACTCCCTTCGAGTATTTTTTAGGTTTTATTATTGGTAGGCTACAAAATTTGTTCTGGTGCATGGATAGGTTGCTTATGCCAACCTCCCCCAAAACTTCACCAAAACACATTCAATTTTTTTGAGGATGTAATTAAACGTGGTTAACTCCATGCTAATATAAGAAAAACCCTCACTTTGTCCAATTTCAATTGAGGGAATAAATGGTGGTATTCCCGAACCTACCTCTTCCGCGGTTAATTGCATGAACACAAACTTTCCTTCTACGAATTTTTAATTCTAAATTTTCAATAAAAAAAAAACTCTTTATCACTTGAGGAAGATATTGTCTCAACCAGAGCTGAGACTACACTGAGCTTGAAATGCAAGCGTTTGTTGTGAACACACAACAGCATTCTCAAGCGCTTGGAACAAGCGCTGAAAGTAAGTTACTTGTAATCAGCTTTCTTTGTGAACGCACCCTTACTGTTAAAGCTGGAATTCCTTGACATGCTGATTTCAGTTGTCTCAGCCTTGTCAATTACTTATTAATTAATTTTTAACAGTCAAATAGTAGTGTTTTTTTTTAAATTTCTCACGAGCAAGTGAAATTCCGATCAACGCATAGGCCAAACCATAGCACCTAGAAGTATGAGATTTTGCATGTACATATTCCTCTCTTAGCATAGGCAGACAAGGAGCGATTTTACAAAATTCCCAAAGGGCTTTGGCCTACAGAAGGTCAAAGTTAGCATGGATTTTGTATAGGAAGAATAATTTGTTTTTGGGTTTTTGTTTACAATTGTTTGCAATTTATTTAATCATCAGCTGTTAACTAGTGTCATTTCGGACCATATAAACATCATATTTGTGTGTCTGTGAAATTAGCCTAATTTATTGTGGCATTTTAGTTTTAAATCAACTTCTGATATGTCTGATAATTGTTGAAGAAAGTAGAATTGAACCTAGTTTTTTATTGCATTTTAATCTTTAGGTACTTATGATATAGGGTTCTGTTAATATTTTTGTAGTTGTTTAAACCATTTCATACTATGGACAGAGGTTTTAAATGTTATTGGCGAGTTCGTTCCACACAATATCATTCACCTCAGAGGAGATGGTGCGTGTTTATTTACTTCACTCTCATTCATAATTCTCTTTATACACATACACACACTAACTGTGTGCAAAGCAATTGTTGAACTTGTTGTGAGGAACCATAAACAAAGCACAGAGACAGTCACTTAAGATCGCAGGACTAGATCTAAGAAAGGATTGTTTTTATCATGGACAATTTTATGTTGCATGTTCACGGATCAGCTCAGCCACGAGTTTGGTGATGCTAGCACGTTGTATGCAAAGAAATTCTGTAAATAATAAAAAATAGTATGAATAACAAACAAATGTTGACATGTTTGCTGCTGACAACTCCGATCGGAGTCATGCCATACTGGTACAGCGTGCGTACGACTCCGGTCGGAGTCACAGTGCAGTGTTATACAAGTTGGTCCACTGTGACCTCCGCATTTATCGGGGATCAACTAAACTATGTCCACATGTTGTGCCGGTCATATACTTTAATTTGGTGTACGCTGGGTTTAGGTTGGTAATAAAATTCCCCATAAAATCCCGTCTGGCAATGCTTTTTGTCTCTAAGAGCCACATTACAAAGACACTGGCTACGGATGCAGGCGGTACTGCTATCTGTGAGTTTTTCAGTGAACTACGTCCACTCTCGGGTTACAACAGAACCATTACCACCGCTTTTTTGCTGCTGTCAAGACTGAAATATTTGTATCACTATTGTGTTCACTGATCGCTGGCACGCTGAGGTTCCGTAGAATTTTGACCGCCCCGAAATGGAATTCTCGCAGCTAACGTGTTAAACTGCAGTTTTAATCATTATTGTAAAATGAAATATAAAAATGAAAATATTTTATTGTTTATTTAATGTGATTTATTTTATGATAATCTGGCGCTTAAACACTAATTTCAACCAATTTGTTTACAAACAGCTTCTAGGCCATCTGATGGTGACGGCAGCCAAAGTGGCTAAAGACCTCGGTTTGGAGGAGGATGGCTACCGACTGGTAGTCAACAATGGCCGAAACGGCTGTCAGTCTGTCTACCACCTCCACTTACACATCCTCGGCGGCCGACAGCTCAAGTGGCCCCCAGGCTAAACCGACCTAGATTGTAAATTTATTAGCATTGGGAAATTTTGTATCACACTTGAAAAATATTATTCAATTAAAATTTTATGACTTTTACATGTAATAGCAAACATTTATTAAATAGGTTTATTCAATATCAATTTGGAGTTTAACTGTTACATAGTCTTAAGTTAGTTGTGATTCAATAAATAATTTTCAAAAGCAGGTTGGATAGTTGTGTACTTTTTAAATATTACAACCTTCTACTCTTTTTCTAAACATTTTAGTTTGTTAATAAAACTTAGCTGCTCACAGTGTGCGCCTACCTCCGTTTCAGGGTAAACCATAGTGACTGCCAGTTGAGGTTAAAAATTTAGTCGTGTTTAGTATTTTTCACATATTTAAAAACAAAATCTAACACCTTAGGACTACACCCGAACCGGCCCATGCGCGTATTGCACATTTTAAAAGAGTTCTTGACTTCACTGCATTGCATAACGAATGATAAGTCATTGAGTCATTTACCAAGCTAGTTTAACAATCTAATGCATGCTTTGGCCCAAGTCTTAACCAAAAATTACATTTCTCCAAAATTTGAAATAAAAAATAAAAAAATACCCCCGCCGCAGCAAACCTGCAGGATTTACCTGGCTGGATTTCTACTAAAATGAAAATGTTCCCTTAAATAGTATTTCTTATTTAAATAACATTAATTTTAGTGAGTACTTAGGTTTGCTGCTAAAGGGAAGGTATTGAGGTATGTTTTTTTTATTGAAATGTTGATAGCTTGGTATGAAAATAAACAAATTTTTTTATTTAAATAGGGAATAAATTGGATCTGTTTAGTGAAATATTTAAGTGAAAACATATTAGGAAAATGGAAATTTGCTTAGTCTGCAGATTTGCTGTGGTGGGGTATTATATTATAGTTACGTAACATCAAACATTTGTAATAAAAACCTCAGTTGCTTGATGTTTATTTTGCTATAAATATACCAACTACTCTGGTTCCCTACTGTGAATGTATTATCTGAAATTACTTATGTTATCACTCAAGGTTGATTTGGTTATGTTATAAATAAAACATGGATTGTGTTTAATAATTCAAAACTGTTCTAACTATTCATATGAGGTTTTTGCGAAAATCTTGATCAATTAGACAGAGTTTTGTGATCACGATTAAAGGCGATTCTTTCATCTGACAAGATGTCCAAGGAAGAAGCCCTAGCTCAGAAGGAAGTGCCAGGAGAAGACACAATTTTTGGCAAAATCCTCCGTAAGGAAATCCCATGCAAATTTATTCATGATGATGAGAAGGTAATTCGGTAATTAATTGTTTTACTGATTAGATAATGTCAGCATTGTATGTTAACATTTTACAAAATTTATTTTGGAAATGTAAATATTGTACAGTATTGATTAATTTAAATAGGTCTATTATCTTGAAGAACTTGTACTGTGTCTAGTATGGGTTAATAGTTAAATACCCCCGCCACAGCAAACCTGCAGGCTAAGCGAATTTCCATTTGACTGATTGGATTTACACTGAAATGTCTACATAAAAATATGACATTTATTCCCTATTTAAATAGAATTAGTTTAACAAGTACTTAGGTTTGCTGCATCAGGGAGGATAAAACTGTTTTTTGTTTTTTTTTGTAAAATGTTAATAGTTAGTAAGAAATAAAAACATTTTCCAAATTTGATCAAAATATGTTCATAAAGAAGCAAACTACAACAGTTTACTTATTCTCCATAAGAATAACATGGGAATTTTAAATTTACAATTTTTTTGAATTTTCTCCGTAACCATTAGGCGCATAATAACGCTTCAATATACTAAATTATTTGTTTTTTTAAGCTCTACAAAATGGTTTGGAAAGAAATTGCTAAATTTAATGTTTTTTGGGTCAAAAATGGGAAAAACCTATTTTTACCCCCATAAAACCCCCCGCAAACCCCCGTTCCCATGGTCAAATCAAGCTGGATCGCGAACTCGTTCAAATAAATGTAGGTTTACACGTTTATACCAAATTTCATCAAAATCGGATGATTTTTGCTCGAGTTATCGTGCTAACGGACACACATTTATATTTATATATATATGAATTTGAACGGATGGTGTTTTTGACCTCTAGGGACCTCAAAACGAAAAAAAAAAATCGGTCCCGCGTCCATGTCTTACCATGAGTACTATGGTAATAGCTTATTCCCTATATGGGAAATTCGCTAAAACTAATAACTATTTTGTTATACATAGTATATTTTATTGAGTGTTAGAGGTTAACAACACACAATAAAAGAATGGTAAGAAAGGGCCATGAGGTCCTAAGTTCGCCTCAAAATAGAAGAATTTTCATTTCTTTATTCAAATTTATGTTGAATAAATGTTTTATTTATAACAAACACACATTTAATTTAATATCTACTTATGGAACAGATAAATTTACTACAATTTTAGTAGAAGTAAATTAACTGATTAATTAATACAAGATTTTAATAAATATTTCAGTGTGTTGCTTTCCATGACATCAATCCTCAAGCTCCGGTTCATTTCTTGGTAATTCCTAGAAAACCGATTGCCAAGTTGTCGGAGGCAGATCCAGGTGACAGTGAGGTACTTGATATTCCATTAAGTACTCAAACTTTATTACAGTTTGTAAAAAATTGAATTCTAGCAAACCGGTAGTGTCTTTTATAATATTTACATTAATTATTCTTTAAAATAACTAGTGCTTTTCTTCTCTGTACAGCAATTAACTAATAGTGATTTTGTTTTTATTTTGTAAATGATGTTGTCAATCTACGTGACTTGCTTCCTACAATTTACTGAATCTTTTTGTTTTCAGTTCAAGTTATAATCAACATCAATCCCAAAGCAAGGAACTATAGCTACTAAGGATGTTAAAAAATGTAGATTAATTTTTGTTCACTTAACCCCCATGATAAATAAGTAGTATGATAAAAATAACAATCTTTATCCACAATAAAATAAATATTCTTTAGAATTCTTTTTCAGAAAATCGTGAAATCCTGATGATTGGCCAATTTTAAAACCTCTGAGTTCATTAATTTATCACTAGGTATGGACATGTTTTATCGTGTGTATTTTGTACCCATTATATACTATGTTGGATATTGCAGCTTTTAGGACACATGATGGTTACTGCAGCCAAGATAGCTGGTAATTTAGGGCTGGGCAGCAAAGGCTATCGACTAGTGATCAACAACGGTCGACATGGCTGTCAGTCCGTCTACCACCTCCACATGCATGTCCTCGGCGGCCGACAGATGACATGGCCCCCTGGCTGAACATTCCAGTTAAATACTATGAACAGAATTAACAAAAAGTACAGTCTCAATATGGAATAATATTAACATTTTATCAAATATTCAGGAGAGAGATAAAAAGTCTTGGTCTATGCATGCGATTAGGTATTTACCCCTTAAAATCCCTCTCAACTGATGTTTTATTCAAATTGAATAGGTGGTATACATTGAGTACTGAAGTAGACACCACTTCTACAGAGTATCTTGCAACCATATGAACATAAACTTTGTCATGTTATTCAGCATGTCAAAAGAGACAAAAAACATAACGTGTGTCCTATCTCATTCCGTTTTCGGTCTATCAATGTCTGTACTATCTTGTCGGTCTATCTGTATGTGCTTTTTACAAAAACATTCATAACTCCTTAACTGCTTAAGCTACACCATTGAAATTCTGTAAAAATGTTTATCTTATTGACCATTAAGTTTGTGCAAAATATGAACAAAAACTCTTGAACCGTTTGAATATGGCTGCTTTTAAAAATATTTGGTGCCAAATGCAATGAAACCCGTTAATTTTACAAAATATTTGCACGAGATGTAAAATCTAGTAAATGTTATGCAGATAAAAACTATATAAATTTAGTTTGGACAAAGAATAACTGAGATGTTAATATTTTCTTTCTTGTCATACCTAAATTTTTCTCCATTTAAACGAAGTTATGATAAAACTACTTTTTGACATTTTTTAAATAAAAAAAAAAACTGAAGGTATGGCAAGAAATTTTTTTTCTCGGTTTTTATTTGGCCAAACGGGGTAGCGGATTTTTATCCCCCTGGAATTTTACCCCCTGGGCAAACGTGACGTCACAAACCAGGGGGTAAAATTCCGGCCGCGAACTTTTGAGTTTCGCGACATCAGCTCGATGTATTATACGCGAAATTAAACATATATTTTCACGGTTGTGAATTTAATCAGAACACATCAAATTATAAAAACCTAGAATGTATGGCCCGGATTTTTACCCCCGGAATTTTACCCCCTGGCCAGGTATATAAATTAGTGACAATGATTATTAATTATCTTCATTCAGTTTTTATTTAATAGTAAACATTTTATTATTAAGTAGCCTATCTTAATTTATTTGTAACATTAAATAATCGAACAGGGTTTTAATTTTAATTTTGAGATTCGAGTATCAGGATTCGATCTTTAAAGCCAACAGTTGGTTAATATGATCAAAATAAAACAGCGAATTCTGTTTACTTAGTTGAGATTACAAAATAAATAAATAAAGATAGGCTACTAAATAATGAAATGTTTACAATTAATTAAAAACAGAAATAAGAAAATCAATCATTCAATTTCTAAAATGGGCTAGGGGGTAAAATTCCGGGGGGTAAAAATTCGGGGGTAAAATTCCGGGGGTAGAAATCCGGTCCGTACATCTTCAGTTGTCTAAACGCTAGTTATATGGACAGGGGGTAAAATTCCGGTTTTTATCGCTAATCTAATTAATCACACACTGGCTATTTTTATTAGACTTCCAAATCCACGGGGGTAAAATTCCGGCCGCGAACAAACTTTTGGCCACTCAGGTAGTGACGTCAGCTTTGACCAGGGGGATAAAATTCCGGCGACCCATCCAAACTAAACTTATAAGATATCGTAAATCTGCATGAAATTTATTAGACTTGTCTTGTAAATATTTTGTAAAATTAACGGTTTTCATGAAATTTTGCATCAAATATTTTTAAACGCCGGCAATTTTAAACGGTGCTCGGTGCAAGAGTTTTTATTCATACGAGTGTACATGTTGCTCGAAATCGAGCAATTGCAAAGAAGTACAGGAGTTATTTATAAACAAATAACTTGTTTAAAAAGTAATAACAGTAATAATTTCCGATGATTTTAAAAGAGTCAACTAAAAGATTATTAACTAATGGAAATACTCATTATTCCTTTAAGCATACATATAATGCAATAGGACAAGTCAAGAATTTTATATGGTAAAATACATAGAGTTGAGACACATAGCTTAAAAACAAGATAAGAACAGCGACAAAGATTTAAATAAAATGTTTACATCAGATGAGCAGGTCACGATGTGAGGCGATCGTCCATGTAGTCTGCAACAGAGTAGTAGATTGGTCCTTTAGAACAGTTTTCTTAAATCTATTGAATGGCAAATTTCTAATAGCTATTGGGAGTTTAAAGAGCGAGTTGATGGTAAACATGGCAATGCCGGGTTTTTTGCAAGCCGTACATATGGAGTAACAAGGTTATGTCATAGATAAAACAGTTGGTTAGTCTACGGTTATGTCTAAATCCAGTGAAGTGATCATGATGTGCATTTTGAGGAGCAAAAGAGTTTATATTTTGTTTGACATATACTAAGGTGTTTAAAATATACACAGATGGCATGGTCAAGATTTTTAACTTCTGAAAACTAGTTTTACATGATTGACCATCTCTTAAGTTATCAAGTAGTCTTACCGCCATCTTTTTCTAGTTTAAAGCGTTACACATTATGTTGTGTATTGTTTTTGAATTTATAAATCGTATAGATACATCTGTATACTACACTTCCATCAGTAGATACAGTAGTGACAATAATTAAAAGCAGTTTATATCTAACCTTTTTCTCTTCAAGATCATCCGTTGTTTTTATTACTATGCAGCTACATGGTTGAAAATATTGGTAGCCTGCCATTGGATAAAAAAGACTAAAATTTCAATACAAAGAAAACAACCACATGACCAATGACCGATCAAGACGAAAACGATTGGATTTGGATTATTTAACCAATCTGTTGTTCATTGTTCTGTTCTGTTTTCTTTTCAGTGTTCTGTCTGTCTGTTCTGTTGTGTTGTTAAATGTTAACAGTGCGGTACAGAATTACAATAGGCCGGCCTGCTACAATCCGTTTTTTTCCAACGAGCTTGTAACACTGTTTAATTGTCTTGTGTTGTGATTGAACATAGTTAGTTGGCATTACAGTAATTTGTTGAAGTAAAGGCCTATGTTTAATGTACAAACATTTTCGAAATGTCATCATTTGAAGAAGTAAATAATGCTCGGGACAAGCTTATGGAAGCATTAGGGGAAAAGAGCAAACAGTGAGTACCTGTAGGCCTAATTAAGTTATTCTAAGCCTAGCTTACCTTTTCTCATAACAGACGTTATCGCCACATTACCTTATTAGCCTACTTATTACCGATTCTTCATCTTTTACCCCATGGGGGATTGATGGCGTCATTAAAAATATAAAATCACTTATTTACACATATATACAATTAAAACTGAGGCTGTGGACAGGCATACTTCAGCCTAGGCCTAATAGAGGGTCTTCAAAGTACTCCTTCAGCGAGTAGTAGGCTTTGTCTTTGAGATACGCTGTAACCATCTTAAGGAGTTTCCTTTTTTCAAGGTGCAGGATGGAGTTTGGCAACTTATTGAATATATTTATTGCTCACTGGATTGGATGCTCACACTATCCAGTAAGCAGCTGCAGTTTGAACTCTTTTTACACCAGAAATTCGTTGTTGGCAGAAAGGGACCTGTTAAAAAGGGCCAGAGTTTTAAAATAATAGGCTTTAAACGAACCTGTCCTCCTCGCTCAAAACAGACTCAGTACTAAAACACTAGTACCTTCAGCACTAATAAGGTTTAAATTACCTGGCTTCTGTCATCGATCCTCGGTAGTTTTATGAAACTACAGCTGTTTCATGCCTATCACTGGCACATCTTCAGGTTTGTTGAACGCCAGCTTCTTTATAAAACATCCCTCGGTGTTGAGTTCGTCATGGTTACACAAAAAACATGTTGACATTTACACACACGAAAACACGCACGAAACATTTAAACATTAATAATTAAAGAACGACTGCGAAACGTGATGCGGCGCCGGTGATGGATAAGTCGCGACTGTCACGTGTGGCAGCGTTGACGTTGACCCCTACCCCTGTTCTATCCTTATCTTTTCTTTCCTTGGTTTGGTAATCAGATATCAGAATGGCTGTGTTGTAAATTATATTAGACTCGAAGGACTGTTTTTCGTTCAAAATATGATGTGGTTGTTCTTTTGATGCCTTATATATTTCGTATTCTTCTATTGTGTCCATATGGCGTCCTTTATTGCAAAAATGTAATATATCTAGGTTATTGTGAATGTCTGTATAGTTATGGTTTGTGGTTGTTAGGTGGTTGGAAAAAGCTGATTTAGAATTCTTTTTTGGTAGGTGCTCTTTAAATCGGGTTGTGAAAGATCTGGCAGTTTGTCCTATGTAAAAGCTGGGACAATTGTCACATTTTAATCTATAGATTCCGGTTTTGTTGTTGTTATCAGTGTGGGACTTGTTCTTGACTCTGATCAATGACGACAGCTTGTTTGTAGTCTTAAATGACACTGTTATGTAATTTTTTGCCAGTTCTTTTCGCAGAGTATCATTTAAAACCACACCAAATTCAGCGCTAACATATTTTTTATTATTATTTTCTCTGGAGGTTATTTCGGATCGGCTACGGTGTTTTGAGATCAATTTGTCTATCAGGCTGCTACTGTATCCATTTGACACTGCAATATGTTTTAGTATTCTAACTTCGTTAATGTAGTTGGTTGGGTTGAGTGGTACGGTGAGTAGACGATGGACGAAACTATTGTAGGCGGATAGGCTAATTTGTGGCTAGGCCCTATAGGGGTGGTGTGATGATGAATGGATAGTTTGGTCAGTTGTAGTCGGCTTCCTGTAGATATTGAATTCTAAGTTACTGTCTTTTCTTGTTATAGTGAGATCTAGGAAATTAATAGATTTAGATATTTCAGTTTCAAGAGTGAACTTCATATTTTTGTGTACATTGTTGAGGTATGTTTTGAATATGTTGATTTGTCTAATGTTACCGTTGAACAATACAAGCGTGTCGTCCACATATCTTCTGTATGCCGTATGCTGTATGCCGATGCCTTGCTCAAATCCCAACACAAAATAGAAGAAATAGTTCACAACCACAAATTTCATCCCCGGCTGATAAATACAACTAACATAGAGTTTACAGAGCAGGAGATTACTTTATTAAATAAAGGACTGAATTTCAATTTCCCTAATGATAGAAAGAACAGTCTTGTGTCTGAATTACTGAATGCTGAGACGGCTGTCAAATGCCTGAAACCCAGCCTTGCAAGAGATACCACCAGAGCAATGGTATCGAACAAAATACAGAAAACAATAAGAAATCCCACTCCTAGAATAAAATATATTTCGAAATATAAGTCGTTGAAATCAATAGCCACTAGCATCCGATGCAAGTTACAACAAAACGAAGCCGTTATCACGAAAGCAGATAAGGGGAACTGCACCGTTATCCTCAACAAGTCAGAATATGTAAACAAAGTAAAAGACTTTATTGAAACTAACTCTATTGTTACTTTGGCCAAGGACCCCACACCTGTTTTCTCGAAAGAGATAAATAAATTAATATCATCATGTAATAACCTTTTGACTAGTGAAGAAATCAGGCATCTAAAAGTCACTAACCCTAGTGCCCCAGTACTTAGAGGTTTACCTAAAATACACAAGGACAACATACCTATAAGACCATTGGTAAATTTCACCCCTTCACCTACCTATAAAATCGCCAAAAAGCTAGACAACATTATCAGAAGAGAGATTATTTTAGAAAATAACCATAGTATAAAAAACACAGTAGACTTAGTAAGCCAGATATCTAACATAGAAATGAAAGAATCATATATACTTGCATCATTTGATATTGTTAGTCTGTTCACAAACGTACCTATAGACGAAACAATAACTTTACTCAGGAAAAACCGACAAGCACTCCACCTTAGCTACAGAATCAAAGAATGAACTGATTAATTTAGTACGCTGTGTCCTAAAACAGAGCTATTTCACATTTGAGAACGAATATTATAAACAAAATGAAGGGTTAACTATGGGATCACCGCTATCAAGTATCCTCTCCGAATTATTTCTGAATAACCTAGAAAATCAACACTTTTGGTCAGACTCAAACCGACAACGCAGCAAAATAGTTTTTTACAGAAGATATGTGGACGACACGTTTGTATTGTTCAACGGTAACATTAGACAAATCAACATATTCAAAACATACCTCAACAATGTACACAAAAATATGAAGTTCACTCTTGAAACTGAAATATCTAAATCTATTAATTTCCTAGATCTCACTATAACAAGAAAAGACAGTAACTTAGAATTCAATATCTACAGGAAGCCGACTACAACTGACCAAACTATCCATTCATCATCACACCACCCCTATAGGGCCTAGCCACAAATTAGCCTATCCGCCTACAATAGTTTCGTCCATCGTCTACTCACCGTACCACTCAACCCAACCAACTACATTAACGAAGTTAGAATACTAAAACATATTGCAGTGTCAAATGGATACAGTAGCAGCCTGATAGACAAATTGATCTCAAAACACCGTTGCCGATCCGAAATAACCTCCAGAGAAAATAATAATAAAAAATATGTTAGCGCTGAATTTGGTGTGGTTTTAAATGATACTCTGCGAAAAGAACTGGCAAAAAATGACGTAACAGTGTCATTTAAGACTACAAACAAGCTGTCGTCATTGATCAGGGTCAAGAACAAGTCCCACACTGATAACAACAACAAAACCGGAATCTATAGATTAAAATGTGACAATTGTCCCAGCTTTTACATAGGACAAACTGCCAGATCTTTCACAACCCGATTTAAAGAGCACCTACCAAAAAAGAATTCTAAATCAGCTTTTTCCAACCACCTAACAACCACAAACCATAACTATACAGACATTCACAATAACCTAGATATATTACATTTTTGCAATAAAGGACGCCATATGGACACAATAGAAGAATACGAAATATATAAGGCATCAAAAGAACAACCACATCATATTTTGAACGAAAAACAGTCCTTCGAGTCTAATATAATTTACAACACAGCCATTCTGATATCTGATTACCAAACCAAGGAAAGAAAAGATAAGGATAGAACAGGGGTAGGGGTCAACGTCAACGCTGCCACACGTGACAGTCGCGACTTATCCATCACCGGCGCCGCATCACGTTTCGCAGTCGTTCTTTAATTATTAATGTTTAAATGTTTCGTGCGTGTTTTCGTGTGTGTAAATGTCAACATGTTTTTTGTGTAACCATGACGAACTCAACACCGAGGGATGTTTTATAAAGAAGCTGGCGTTCAACAAACCTGAAGATGTGCCAGTGATAGGCATGAAACAGCTGTAGTTTCATAAAACTACCGAGGATCGATGACAGAAGCCAGGTAATTTAAACCTTATTAGTGCTAATCTTAACGATCCAGAGGCCAACCATCATGAAACTAGTACCTTCATCGCACAATCAAAACAGTCTCACCCAGTAACTTACTAAAATGCTGTCGACATAGCATCCTTCCAGCGTAACTTAATAGACTTGACTACGGCAACAATGCTAACACTTAGGTACTTTTTTGCTTAATCTTGAATCGCTTCGATGTAGGACCATCCATTTATTAGTATCATAAGCGTAGCCTATAATTTTAAAATGGGGATGCCACCTCGAGGTGCTTACATTTTAACCCTTAGTAATGTGAGTGAATTATGAGGGTAGAGTGTTGTGAGATGTTCTGTGTAACTTTGTTCCGGACTAAGATAAGCTGTATCTATACTTAGTCTTTAATGATCAGGGACTGCTGGGTCCAGAAACAAGATTGGACACTCTGATGAGTTACACTGAAAATTTGTTCAAGCACATTCTTCTCAGGTAGCCTAGTACGCAGGGTGGCCAGCCAGCTACTGTATGGTTGAGAACAGTCACAGTGTCCGTGGCTGTTTATTGTCACCCAAGTAGCTTGATTGTAGTAACTTATAACGAAAATCAAATAATAAACTCTCCTGGTTGATTAAAATCAGAAAGTACCTACTCATTTGAACAGTAACTGACAGGAAACCCTGGTATTGACGGGAAAATAAAATGAACAGCTCTTAACAAATCATTAAAAAGTGTTAACGGAGATTTCTGGTTAGCTGTTGCGACTAAACTGCTGATGCTAGCAGTCTCATGCTACTTGTGAGCAGCCTCACTAGAGCTGTTTTTATTGTGGGACTCCTGTCATGAAAGAGAAATGGGCCCGTTTACTGCAACGGCTATAGTCGCTACAGTGGTCTATTTATTTTTATTTTTCGTTATCTAGATGAAAGTGGCATTTTGCTAAGAGAGAATCTTAATATATAAAATAAAGTTGTGTTAGTTACAGCGTTTATTTAACTAGATAACTACTGAACCAATTGGCATGAAAATTTACAGGGATATTCCTTAGGTACTAGAATAACATAATACCTAGCCTGTTTTCGTTTCAAAAACCCTTAAGTAAGGGAAGCGTCCTATGGCCCTTTGCAGTTTACATGAGTTTACATCTTATGGAAGAATGTTTTATTTTGTTTACCATGCCATGTTTGTCATTTCTTGATTAAATTAAATTAAGGAAACAGCTGTTGTAATGATAACCTAATTTTTAAAAACAAATCTATGCATAACAAATGAGAGCTATCAAATAGGTTTCTATTCCATTTGTTTTTTACGAATATTTGTTGTAAAATGTAATTGAAGGCAAGTGAGCGCAGCGAACGAGCTCCAACCTAAAGGTGAGTGAGCGTAGCGAACGAACTTCAACCTGGAGGCGAGTTAGCGTAGCGAACGAGCTAGCCTGAAGGCAAGTGAGCGCAGCGAAAGATCTCCAACCTAAAGGTGAGTGAGCGTAGCACACACACACACACACACCAAGCACATCTGTCAGTGACCAAACACGCGTACAAGCCCCTAGGACAAACCAACCATGGCCATACGTTCAAAATACATATTTTTTAGCGCTGCCACAAACCGGGAACGGTTATCAAGGGATTTGATGGCTAAGGGGAGGTCATTCCAAAGTCGGCAAGCGGTCACAACAAACGTTCCGTCGTAAACTGCAGTCCTATGATGAGGCATACGCAAAGTCAATGAAGCATAGCGTGAAAATCTAACACTTTCTTCAGCTACAAACCTAAAATCATCTACAAAATATTTTGGAAAATTTGTTTTTATTATTGAATAGGTTAGCAAAAGAATTTTAATTGATCTAAGGTCACATAGCTTTAATAGTTTAGAATTAATGTAGTAAGGCGTGATACGCTCACCGCGTTACTAATTACTATCTACATTACTAATAATTATAGTTACTTTGTAAGGATTAAAAAGTCACTAAAATATGGGAAAGAAGGTTTGACAATCCACAATTCTTAAGTTTGTAACAAGTTCTTTGCATTTTTTATTTAAAAATGAATAAGTTAGCATACATATTTTAAAAATAAGTCAGTAGAAAATGGTTTGTACGACTTACATGAAAAGTCCTTACTAAAAATGTCTTGCATCAACCAAAGTTTACTTTTCTATGTCTCATTTAGATGATAATCCCAAATATTTGTCTAAATATTTTTAAATAAATAAATGTCACAATGATTAACCGATTTCATTTGAATCAAGTTAACTTTGGGCCCAAGATGCCTACCTCAATAGCACAAATTAAATAAACAACTTAAGTGTATATCCGTTCTTATTTGGCTGCATTTATCTTATTAGCTCCTTATATAAGCCTTATTGCTTTGTAGGTACTGTGTATTAATTGATTAAAACATTTTAAACTGGTTAACAAACGTTTAACTGTTATCATTGCAATTCAAACCGATATAGATGTTGGTTACTTTCTAGCATAAGGCGTACGTTAGTTCCCAAATATTGCTGATTGGGGTTCAGCAGAAATTCCATGATAGCCGAATGTTTTTGCTGAATAACATTGTTGTTTCAGGTACATTCAACATATGAAGTTATGGTTCCAGATGAAAGTGAGTTGTTATATTCTTGTAATCTTGGGCTTTAGTTATTTCAATTATTCTATTTTTATCTTATAGTCAGGTTTACGAGTATGGGTTGGTTCATCAAACTTCAACTACTACTACTTGTAAACACTTTTTGAGTAATTATGACTTAATTGAAAATCTGTTTTTGTGTAGAATAAAACACAACGTGTTCCCACCAGCATAGGAGAAAGTGTATAACAAATATGTAGTGAGCAAGTTGAAATTTAGGATTTGTTATTTTCTACTTTACCTTGGCCAACTTAAAACATTGAGCTGAGTAGAGGTCGTGCGGAACGAGGTGAAGCCTGAGATATTCGGCGGGAATGGTCTAAAGTGGGGAAATCCATGGTGGGGGTAGGAGACGAGCCGATCGTCGCCTCGCATAGCGACACTTCCCCCGCCACACCACTATTCCCCTCCAAGCTTCACCTCGTTCCGTACGACCTATAAACTATTGGGAGTGGAAATCTGTTTATTTAAACCAGTGCATTACTTCTAAACTTTTTCTATATTTTTTCTGTGCTGTATTGTAGTGTTATGTTGTTACATTATTGTGTGCTTCCAACCTGTAAACACTATTTTTTCATTTACTTTTTCAGACCTCAAAAGAAGATTTTGACATTGAAGCTCGAAGACTTCTGGATCCGGGCCAGATACATCTTCACAACCAGTTCCTACTACAACTGTACCTCAAATGTTCTAAGCAAGACTTGCCAGCAGTGTCACCGCCGTTGCCTCACCATCGCACTAAGACTAAGCGCAGGGCTAGGCAGCACAATGGCGGCTTCCAGGTGGTTAAATTAAATTTTAATAAAAATTCATGTGCTTTTAGCGAATTCCCTATAGGGAAGAAGCTATTACCGTAGATGGCACAGAAAGACCTAGATCTGGGAGTTTGGGAACCAGCAAGATTGTGTCATAATAACAGAGTTTATGGAGTTTTGAAACTTTTCAAAAATAGTTTTTTTTTTCAAATTTTTACCCACAAATTATAAAAAATGTCCATTTTCATTAAAGCCATCGAGTAGAGCTTAAAAAACAAGTCGAGTATGCATGAAAAGCCTGACACAATTTTATTTCTGATTGTTATAGGCACTATAGTGATCATGAAAACGCATGTTGTCGCCCCCCAGCGTGGTCGACATCTCTGAGGGAGACGGTAATTTTGGGGAAATTTTTTGGTCCACAAAACATATGTTGAACAATTACCATATGTTAATAACATATTAACTACTACTGTCATCCCTCCTTCACAAGTCAAAATTATTTGGTTTTATAAAATAATAGTGGTTTATTTACCTTTCCTTTCGTCCCAGTTCAATTAAAGTTGTAGTATCTACAACCATGGTTTCGACGCTAGTTGCGTCATGGTCACGTAGTTAGCAAGTCGAGAAATATCTTGTCATAGTCAGTCGCTTGGACGTCGTCATATTCCCACAAACACGGACACGGACATAAACACACACGTACATTCTTAAATAGATTAAAATAAAAGGTTCTCGTGGACGGAACACAGGCCTGTGATGAACAGTATTAATTTATGAAATTGTACCGTCGCGGGACCCGGCAGGAGAACACCTAGGGGGACGGCGTCTGTGATTACATTTACTATGATACATTACTACATTACATTACTATGATTAAATTTCCATTCGGATACGAATTTAGTAGAGGTGTGCGGATAGTGAAATTTGAGTTTGGATCGAATTCGGATCGGATCGGATAGTAATAGGTTCGGATTCGGATAGTTCACTGTTATTTAATAAATTAATAGCAAGGTTAATAAGATAACGTCATTTTTATATATCGTAACATTAACATTAAACTAATATTATTGATCAGATCAAAATTACTTTACTGTATGGTGCATTGAATTTATTTACCTGGAATGTGTTTTTATCTGTTTTTATGTCCCTAGACCACAAATGTTGCAATTACATCTTACATTTCTTCTTACATGTAGACATTCAATTAAGGTCTCAGTTAGCCTTTTTTTAAATAAAAATACTAATTAAATTTTAAGTCTTTGATAATTAGGCTTAGGCCTATTGTAAATTATGCTTAAGTTTAGTGGCCTATTTATTGATTGAGTTACATGTCAGTACATCATAATAACAGGACATATTATCAATGGTTAAATAAAGACTAAAAACTAATAGATAAAACTAATAAATCTGTATTTACACAAAATCAACTGAATCTTCCCATTTATTCTTTGGTCTTTGGTTCAGTAGGAAATATCCTTTAAATCATAAATTTTGTCACTTCTTAATCGGTCGTCTCCATCTGTACTAAAACTTAACTTCATCCCAGATGTTGTGCGTATAGCCGACGACGCCATAGCGAAAATGAAAAGTTGTCATAATAGTGTATGAAAACAATCAGAAATGTAACTGTCGCTCCTGACTGGTCTTGGAACAGTACCCAGCGACTGCAGCTCGCGGCTCTAGCGACAGTAGCTCCAAGCAAAACAGGACTATGCAAAACCCTTAAGATCAGTGTCCCGCGACTGCCGCTAGGTGACAGTTGCTGCGCAACTTTCGCACCTGTCGCTCCAAGCAAAACGTACCTTTAGTCAGCACTGTGACTACCATACACCCTGCAGCATCCAAATCACAAATGATAACTAAACTAAACCATGATACTGCCCTGAAACTATACCAATATTATGAATAAGAATCCATTTATTGACATTATTTTGCCAACACTGTATTGCTAAAGACAACGTCAAAGAAAAAAAGAAATTCAGTAATATGCAGGAAAGAGTACAATGTACTTGTCAGGCTAACAAGTAAAACAGAATAAAACATGACAAAACACCATTACAGTAGAATCAAATCAATATAAACTATGAAAATTAACAATAAATAAATTGACAAATTTAAGTCAACCGTTTGGGTTGCACAAATGTATTGAACTGTGTATGGTCGCCCTTCAATAAGATTGTGAAATATATTGTACAATTACAATACAATCGGTTTGGCTAAAATGTTGGTGTATTCAACCAAAAAACGGTTATTTTCTTCAGCACTTGCTGTTGGTGGCTCAATTCAACTAGGCTACATTAATTTATTCTAACTCTATGGCTACACTCTAACATTAGAATGGAATGTCTTGTTCTACCTGTAGTGAAACACAATGCATAATTTGGGGAAAACAGCATGAAAGTTACAACTTTCCTTAAATTCTACAAACTGAATGCACCAACTAGTACTTATACAGTCAGTGTCTGATAGATGAAGTCAAATACTTTTAGTGTATAAATAGATTTACTGTTGACAGCAAGCCAACATCCACGACTACGTGCAGACCCGAGTGCCGCCACGGCCGCAGGAGGAGTCTGTGCTCTACTGTGTACAGGAGCTATTCCTGCCAGACACAGAGTTGATACAGATGCGGATGATGTTGGCAGCTTGGGAACTTGGCCTCAAAGGGGCAGAACAGTCTGCTGCGGAGATACTAGTCCAGGCTACCCAGGTCAGTAACCTATAGGATATGTCAAACCATTATACAAAACATTTAAAACAACTGATTGGGGTATCCGGATAGCTAATTTTTCAAATTTTTTGTCATTGACAGGAAAAATTAAGTACTATAAGCCTATATCATATTTTCTTATTAATAAAAAAAATGTATTAAAACATGTTTACATACCTTTTTTGCTGTTTTTTGTTTCTATTTTTATGGGTTTTTTTTTTTTGTAAACTCCCATATTTAATGTTGAGCACAAACACAAATGATTCATGGTTCTTTTCAGTGTCAGAAATCATCACATTTCCAACTCCATAATGCCAAACTAAACTCGATTCATCTTAATCCCTTATAGCGAATTTCCCATATAATAGGGAATAAGCTATTAACGTAGTACTCATGGTAAGACCTAAACTAGGACCGATTTAATTTTTCGTTTTGAGGTCTCTAGAGGCCAAAAACACCATCCGTTCAATTCATATACATATTTATTTATATATGTGTCCGTTAGCACGATAACTCGAGCAAATATGATCCGATTTTGATGAAATTGGTACAAACATGTAAACCTACGACTATTCGAACGAGTTCGCAAAACCAGCATAATCGGGCCATGGGAACAGGGCTTAATGGGGGGTTTTATGGTGTAAAAATGGGGTTTTCCCATTTTTCACCCTAAAAACAAATACTTATGCAATTTTTTTTAAAACCCTTTTGTTGAGCTTAAAAAAAGAAATGATTTAGTATATTGAAGCGCTGTTGTATGCCTAATGGTCACAGAGAAAATTCAAAAGTAGTGTAATTAAAAATTCCCATGTTATTCTTATGGAGAAAATGAATACTGTTGTAGTTTACTTGTTTATGGATATACTTTGATAAAATTTGGCAAATTTATTTATTTCATCCTTTACCTATGGTCAAAAAACACTTTTTACCTTCCCCGTAGCAGCAAACCTAAGCACCCGTTAAGTCTAACTAGCTGTTACCCACGGGCTTCAACCTGTTTGACTTCAAAGTATTATAAAAAACTATTGATTGGTTAAGTTAAGATGAAATAAACAAAACAGAATACAGCATTACAAATCAAAATAAGAAGGTTACAATACCTGCAGACTGCCTTTAGTGGTCCTTAAATATCCAACAGGATTACGCGTTTCGGTATTTGTTATACCATCATCAGATCCATATACAAACTTGAAGTTTTTTGACTCATGATGTCACGTCACAGTTTTTAAAACACAGTTACAAAACATTTAAACACGAAAAACTATTTACAGTAGGCCTACTAATTAAAAACGAGAGACAAAAGTGAAGCAATGCATGCATTTTCAATGTCGAGTCTCAACTGGAGGTTATCTTGTCCTAGTAGTTGTACTTTGCACCCCCGGCTTCCTTTATCATTCCTTTCTGTCTCTGTCTAATCCTATTAATGTTTCAAATAATATATTAGACTGGAACAAGCTTTTATCATTTAATAAATCATTAGGGCGAATTTTTGTTGCTTTATATATTTCATAATTTTCCAAAGTTGTCATAGTTCGTCCTTTCCTACAGATATGTAAAGCTGTTAGATTTGTACTGACATTTGAATAACTGTGATTTTCATTAACAAGATGCTCGGCAAAACTGGATATTTGTGTCTCCCTGGTTCGGGGGATATGTTCCTTAAATCTTTTTTCAAAAGATCGCCCAGTTTGACCTATATACATTTTGCTGCAATCATTGCATGTTACTTGATAAATTCCAGATTTGTTATTAATGCTTTGTTTTTCCTTTGGATTAACTATGTTTTCCAATTTATTGCTGGTTCTAAAAGCTGCAATTTTCCCATGCTTTTTTAATTCATTTTTAAGAGTTAGAGGGAATCTGCTACCATATTCGACTGGGACATAATCTGAATTTTTAAACCGTTGATTAGTTGGTTTTGGTTCAGTCCTCTTTCTTAAATGTTTCCCGATTAAATCGTCAATTATATTAGGATTGTAACCATTTGAAATTGCTATATGCTTCAGTGTATTTTTTTCTTCTTTAAAATCTTCTGGACTTAATGGTACATTTAATAAACGGTTCACAAAACTATTATAAGCTGCCATTTTGTATGAAAACGGGTGATGGGAAGTTGCATGTATGGTGGTATCTGTAGTTGTAGGTTTCCTGTAAATGTTGAATGAGAATTTACTATTTTCTTTTTTCAGGGTGATATCAAGGAAATTCAACACATTAGCTTGCTCCAATTCTGCTGTAAATTTTAGTTTAGGATGAATGCCATTAATATAGTTATTAAATAGAGCTATCTGTCTTGAGTTTCCGTTGAATAGGACTATTATGTCATCAACATATCTGTAGAAAAATATTATTTTTTCTCTGTATTTATTCTTCTCTGTGTTTATGTGCATGTTCTCAAAATTGTTTAGGAAAATTTCCGCTAGTATACAAGATAAAGGTGAGCCCATCGCCAATCCTAAATGAGACCTTGAAAATATTAGAGTGCAATTTAGAAAAACACTCAAAGTTGACTGAGATCGAACAAAAGGAACTCATGGCCTTATTAAAGTTAGTACTAAAACAAAATTATTTTAGCTTCAATGGTAACTATTATATTCAACATGAAGGATTGGCGATGGGCTCACCTTTATCTTGTATACTAGCGGAAATTTTCCTAAACAATTTTGAGAACATGCACATAAACACAGAGAAGAATAAATACAGAGAAAAAATAATATTTTTCTACAGATATGTTGATGACATAATAGTCCTATTCAACGGAAACTCAAGACAGATAGCTCTATTTAATAACTATATTAATGGCATTCATCCTAAACTAAAATTTACAGCAGAATTGGAGCAAGCTAATGTGTTGAATTTCCTTGATATCACCCTGAAAAAAGAAAATAGTAAATTCTCATTCAACATTTACAGGAAACCTACAACTACAGATACCACCATACATGCAACTTCCCATCACCCGTTTTCATACAAAATGGCAGCTTATAATAGTTTTGTGAACCGTTTATTAAATGTACCATTAAGTCCAGAAGATTTTAAAGAAGAAAAAAATACACTGAAGCATATAGCAATTTCAAATGGTTACAATCCTAATATAATTGACGATTAATTCGGGAAACATTTAAGAAAGAGGACTGAACCAAAACCAACTAATCAACGGTTTAAAAATTCAGATTATGTCCCAGTCGAATATGGTAGCAGATTCCCTCTAACTCTTAAAAATGAATTAAAAAAGCATGGGAAAATTGCAGCTTTTAGAACCAGCAATAAATTGGAAAACATAGTTAATCCAAAGGAAAAACAAAGCATTAATAACAAATCTGGAATTTATCAAGTAACATGCAATGATTGCAGCAAAATGTATATAGGTCAAACTGGGCGATCTTTTGAAAAAAGATTTAAGGAACATATCCCCCGAACCAGGGAGACACAAATATCCAGTTTTGCCGAGCATCTTGTTAATGAAAATCACAGTTATTCAAATGTCAGTACAAATCTAACAGCTTTACATATCTGTAGGAAAGGACGAACTATGACAACTTTGGAAAATTATGAAATATATAAAGCAACAAAAATTCGCCCTAATGATTTATTAAATGATAAAAGCTTGTTCCAGTCTAATATATTATTTGAAACATTAATAGGATTAGACAGAGACAGAAAGGAATGATAAAGGAAGCCGGGGGTACAAAGTACAACTACTAGGACAAGATAACCTCCAGTTGAGACTCGACATTGAAAATGCATGCATTGCTTCACTTTTGTCTCTCGTTTTTAATTAGTAGGCCTACTGTAAATAGTTTTTCGTGTTTAAATGTTTTGTAACTGTGTTTTAAAAACTGTGACGTGACATCATGAGTCAAAAAACTTCAAGTTTGTATATGGATCTGATGATGGTATAACAAATACCGAAACGCGTAATCCTGTTGGATATTTAAGGACCACTAAAGGCAGTCTGCAGGTATTGTAACCTTCTTATTTTGATTTGCATGAAGTGGCCTAGAAAAACAACTAGAACATGAAATTTTCAGCCAGCCTGGCAAAAGTTGTTTATACCTACAAAACTTTGAAGTTAAAAGTTTTAACCCTTTGAGTGCCAACGTCCGGGGAACCGGACGTTTTTAAAACGAGCCAAAAGTGCCGACGTCCGGCCGACCGGACGTTTTTAGAACGAGCCAAAAGTGCCAACGTCCGGCTGACCGGACGTTTCGTAATGATCGAACAGTTGTCATAACAACCGAATGGATACTCGGATTCTTTTAACCCATATATTAACATTGAGTCGAAAGTTACTAGATGCAATACATCGATTTTCGTTGGTCGAAATATCGAAAATTCGATTTTTACGAAATTTTAACCTAAAAATCGCCAGATCGCGCTCGGCATTTTTAGCGCGACCTTCGGGAAAAATCATCGGCATTTTTTGAGCGTTACTTTTATTTCTCGCCTGGCACTCTAAGGGTTAAAGACAGCTCAGAACATAACTTTTAACAAAGAATGCATAAAAAATCAAGTAATCCCTAATTATATTCGCATAAAAATTAAAAATAAATCTTCTGCTGCAAAAAGAGCAAAATTGGTTGCTGAACAAGCTTGGCTAAAAAATGAGGTCAAACAACAACATAGGAAAAAATCCATGCTTAATAAATTACTACTTAGAGCTCATATTAACATGTTGAATCATATCCATCCAGCACAACTCAACAATGTTCTTGCCCAAATAGATCCTCAAATAATTAAGGAAATAGATATAAAAAAGAGAGCTCAAAAGAAAAAACTAATTTCTCTATTAGATAAAAAACACTCGTTTGACATTGATAAATCAAAACATGTTTTTTATCAAAGAACATTCAACCTTACAAACGTTGTTTTCAATGCAGAAGAACTATCACTACTAAACAAAGGGTTAAAATATAATTTTAAAAATAATAGTGAAAGGGGATTCTTTAAGGAAATAGTCAATGCTGAAGCCGCGATTCAAGTATTATCTGATGTTAATG